ATAAATTCTGTTCTGAGATGTCAACTCCTATGACCTAATCATCCCTCAAAGACTTGAGTTCCAAGTACTGTCACATTGGGAGTTAGCTTTTATATTTCATTTTTGGAGGATGCCTTCAACCTATAGTATATTCCCCCGAGGTTCCCCAAATTCATATCCTTCTTACATGAAAAAAACACATGAACTCAATCCAAATAGTTCAAAAGTCTTGTTAAAATTTTCTTCTAAGTAACATTTATAACCAAATAGATGAAAAATTCACTCATAGAAAAATTCTTCTCCAGCTATAAACATGTGAATCAAGTTGAACACTTCTAAAATCTAAAGTTGATAAATTTACATTCTAGATCTATTGATTTTAATATTTCAACTTTGTCACATAATCGATTTTAATCCTAGAATCATATCAACAGTTGCTGTTTTATTAAATAAAATAAAAAATAAAAGAAATTTTATTCATATTATTTTTATAATAATATAGATTTAGAATATAACATTTTATTTTTATAATAGATATATATTAAATAAAATAAAAATACAATATTCAGACTTAGGTCTCAATAAAGAGAGAAGTAATGAAAAAAGTACAGGGAAGTTCCCAAACCTAAAGAAGTAATGGAGTTCAGGACAAACTGACTCAAATATAGCATCTTAGCATATTAATTACCTTAAGCTGAAAGAACTTTAATGGGAAGTACAGAAAAGTATTCTAACACCTACCCAACCCCGCCAAATACACATACACTTGCCATTACCCCTTAAAACAAGACAAAAAACTCCGATTTGCAAAGTGTTCTCCCTACAGCATGGTAAGGGTAGGTGGTTTGGGAGCAAGGGGAGAAGCAAAAGGAATCTGTACAAGTGTTGTAACATTTTATGCTTATTTTCCCAATTATTTCTTCACCCTTAATTACCCTTACCCCAGACCTCTTCATTTTGTCAATGTTTCATTAATTTGTAGTTTTTATACATAAGATATAAGAGCTTGGTTTTTCAAACTGTGTTCTTCCTTGAACATGTATCTCACTCGCTTGTCTCAAGATTTCTTTGCTTTAACAGGTGCTGGCGCGGATGTGGCGAGAAAGGGACCCTCCTTCACTGCTGGTGGGAATGCAGGCTGGTCCAACCCTTTTGGAAAACAGTATGGACGATTCTCAAAAAATTAGAATTTGATCTCCCATTTGACCCAGCTATAGCACTCCTGGGAATATATCCCAGAGAGGCAAAAAGGTATAGTCGAAGTGACATCTGCAATTGTTTGTTCATTGCAGCACTCTTTACAATAGCCAGAATCTGGAAAAAACCTGAGTGCCCGAGAACAGATGACTGGTTAAAGAAACTTTGGTACATTTACACAATGGAGTACTATGTAGCTGTTAGAAAAGATGAAGTTATGAAATTTACATACAAGTGGTACTACATGGAAAGTATCATGTTAAGCGAAATGAGTCAGAAAGAGCGGGATAGACACAGAAAGATTGCATTCATCTGGGGAACATAAAGCAACAAAATGGGAGACTAACACCCAGGAATGGCTCAGATTAGTACCAGGAATTTTGCTCCATGACTTGAAGGCTAGCCACATGTGCTAGGTGATAAGGAGACTCAGATAGAGAAGAGAGCACCAAATAAAGGGTGTTGTGAAGACCCTCCCAGGGTGGGAGAGACATGCTAAAAGTAGTCTATAGACCAAACATGATTGCCACTCAATGCCTCTCTGGCAAAACACAGTACCCAAAAGAAGAGAGAGAGAACAAGGGGGAATGCCCTGCCACAGCGGCAGGGTGGGACGGGGTGGGGGGGGGTGGGGGGTGGGAGGGATGCTAGGACCCGTGGTGGGGGAGGATGGGCACTGGTGGAGGGATGGGTACTTGATCATTGTATAACTTAAACCCAAGCACAAAAATTTATAAGTCTATAAGTGTACTTCATGGCGTTTCACTAATAAAAAAATGATAAAAAAAAAAGATTTCTTTGCTTGACTATATCCTCTTTAAAGAAGCCTGTATTCTCTCTTGAACATGCACTTCTCCCTTCCTTGTCACATCTTTCTACATTTCAATAAAACCTACCTTGCTTCAAACACACACAGACACACACACACACACACACACACACACACACACACACAAATATCAAAGCTTTCTGCTCTGAGAACTTCCCAAACTTTAAATACTGCCTCATTTTTGCTTAATAATTCCATCCTTAAGGCATTTATCTCTTCTCATATTGTACTAAAAGCAGACAGCATCAGTATGAGGAATTATCTGCTTCTTCAACAATTTATTCAGGAATAGTAGTTAGAGATCAATCAGTAGCCAATGTTGTCACTAGCAAACTCTGAAATTACACCAGGTTCTTTTCACTCTATATCAAGAACACCTTACCTAAATTCTCACTACATCTGATACTGCAAATAGTTACAGTTATTACTCTAAAAGCCGAAGTTTTCATTTAAGGAATGAGAAAGCTGAATTAAATTCAAATTATTTCAGATAACAAGAAAGTTTATCAACCTGAGTAAATTTTGCACATGTCTATTATGAATCCAATTCAAAGGTCAAAAAAGACGTTCTTTGGTCATGAAAACTCTAGTGAGGCAAGATACTTCTTACTGAAGAAAACTTACTTAGAAAGATGGATGGGGAGGGAGAGAGAGGAAGCACATGTTCAAAAGTGAACATGGGCTTCTCAAGAGTGGCAAATACTGTCAAAGAGACACAAGAGATAAACAAGTGAGATACTTGTTTAAGAGAGAACATGGGTTTGAATAGCAAGCTTATAGTCAAATATATTTAAAATATTGTAAAATTAGATAGACCCTTTGTTTTATTTTTTTGCAGCATCATGCTTCACACTACTGTAGTAACAGTTTCATGTACATGCTATTTCAGCACCATACAACCACAGAGTGCCTTCCTCAAAGGGCTCAACTATTTTTAAGAACAAGGCCAGAGAAATAGTTCAACTGGCTGAGGCTATGTTTTACCTGTTTTAAGGGTGGCGTTTTCAATACCCATAATTTAAGGGAGTAATATTCAGGATATACAAGACACTGGTAGAATTGTACAAGAAAAAACCCTCCAACCCCATTGAAAAATGGGGAGATGAAATGAACAGAAACTTCCTCAAATAAGAAATGCAAATGGCCAAAAGGCACATGAAAAAATAATCTACATCACTAATCATCAGAGAGATGCAAATCAAAACAATGAGATATATTCTCACACCAGAGACTGGCACACATCAAAAAGAACAAGAACAACCAGTGCTGGCACTGATGTGGAGAGAAAGGGCTCTCTTTCATTATTGGTGGGAATGCTGACTGGTCTAGCCTACTGGAAAACAATATAGGCATTCCTTCAAAAACTAGAAATTGAGCTTCCATATGACCCACAATACCACTTCTGGGAATATATTCCAAAGGTGCAAAAAGGCACAGTAGAAAGGACATCTGCACCTGCATATTCATTGCATCACTGTTCGCAATAGTCAGAAAGAATATGGAAACCACCCAAATGCCCGAGAATTGATTACAGCAACTTTGGTATACAGTGAAATATTATGCAGCTTTTAGGAAAAATGCAATCATGAAATTTGCTTATAAGTGGATGAACATGGGGAATATCAGCAATGCTAAGTAATATGAGTTAGAAAGAGAGGGACAGACATAGAATGACTGCACTCATTTGTGAAATATAAAATAACATAATGTGAGACTGACACCCAAGGACAGTAGAGACAAGGGTCAGGAAAATAGCTCCACATTTGGAAGCCTGCCTCATGATCTGGGGAAGAAGGCAGCTGGGATTGAGAAGGGATCACTAAGTCAGTGAGAGTTGGAGGGATCACACGGGATGGGAAATGTGTCTTGAAAGTAGATAAAGGACCAAACATGATGACCTCTCACTATCTGTGTTGCAAACCATAATGGCTAAAAGTAGAGAGAGAGTATGGGGGAAATTGTCTGCCAGAGAGGCAGTGGAAGGGTGGGCAATACTGGGGACATTGGTGGTGAAAAATGTACACTGGTGGAGGGATGGGTGTTAGATCATTATATGACTGAAATTTAAACATGAAAGCTTTGTAACTGTATCTCCTGGTGATTTAATAATGGGGAAAAAGGTGAGGTTTGCAATGTGCTTAGAACCTGACTCTTTCAGCTAAAGATACTAAAAATTATCACAGAGTGTTATTCAACCACAGCATTTTATTTCTGTCACAAGAGTTATTATCAGTATTCCCCAAGACCAACATTACCAATCTTCTGCATGTTTGGGGGGACTTTATGAATGAAATTAGAACCTTGTTTAGCCAGTTGATCACCATCAGAAAAGTTTCTGATTTGTTTTCAGGGAAAACCAAAGTTCTATATTCCCATTCCAGTAGTGAAATAAGATTCTACAGTTTTATCTAATAGATGTCCTTATTTAACTCACTCTGGGTCATTGTCTCCATTATCTGACCCAGTATTAAGCTTTTCTCTTCAATCTTTCAGAAGAAGACTGCCATTGTTTTTTAGGCAACTGGGTTGAATTGTGAATCTCTGACAGGTAATCTATTCCTGAGAGTATGTGCATGACACAACCACTCTAATTCATGTAGTTCCCAAATCCAGACTGACCAAGTATTTTCGTTAAAGTATTTGAATACTATTCTGCATAAAATGGCCACAATTTGCAAAAAAAAAAAAAAAAAAAAACTTCTTTTCTGCAAAAAAGATTTTACTATGGATACACAAGTCTCAGAAATGTCTATTTGAGTTTTCCTAGTACTTATTCTTTTCCTTTGGTGAAAAATAATTTTTAAAAAGGGATGTCTGTCACGCAAGTCGGTTGAGTGTTTCAGGATCATCTTTCCCCCTATGGATTCTATGAATCGAACCCAAGGTCTCACACATGCAGACCAAGGAAGGCCAGGGAGAGATACTGAGCCGCTCCTCCGGGCATCCTCAGGACCACTTGGTTCCAACGACCCTCTTCCCGGGAAGAAACCCCAGCTCAGCAGGCGGCTCCCGGCGCCCGCTCCAGGCCCAGGCTCCTAGGTGCAGGGCGTGCCCGGGATGCAGGGCGTACCCCGGGTGCCGGGCACGCCTGCCAGCCTCCTGCCCACGCCTCGGCCCTAAGCCGGGCCGGCCCTGGGGACCGGGCCCGGGCGGTTGAAGGGAGCCGCGCCCCGTCCCTGTCCCTGATTGGCCAGCTCTCACCCCACGGGCGGCCCCGATTGGCTGACCTTCCGCCCACTCCTCCGCGGTTGGTCGCTCTGGCTGTTGCCCGGACGACGTGGGTGTGGCGAGTCTCTGGCCGCGTCGGCGTTTGCCATCGAGCAGCCTCCGGGTGCCACTGCTCGGCCGGGAACCCTGGGCGGTGAGGCGGCTGGCAGAGGGGCGCGGGTCTGGGGAGACCGGGGGACGGATGGGTCTGGGGGTCCCGGGGTCGCGGGTGGGTCTGGGGGGGGCCCGCGGGCGGGATGGGGGGGCAGGGCGTGGGTCTTGGGGAGACGGTGGGGGCGCGGATGGGTCTGGGAGTACCCGGGGTCGCGGATGGATCTGGGGGGACCCAAGGGGGGCTGGGGGGACCCGGAGGTGGGTGGTCAGGGGGAATGGGGAGTGAATGGGTCTGCGGGGGACCCAGGGGCCGGGTGAGTCTGGGGGAATCCCACCCGGGGTCGGATGGGTCTGGGGGGGACCGGGAAGGTGAATGGGTTTGGGGGTACCCGGGAGGCGGGTGGATCTGGGGGGTGGACCGGGGGAGCGGGTGGGTCTGCTGCAGGGCACCCACGGGCGGGTCTGGGAGGTGCCGGGGGCGCATGGGTCTGGGGGACCGAGGAGCCAATGGGTCTAGGGGGACTGGGGAGCCGGTGGATCTAAGGGGACCGGGGAGCGGGTGGGTCTAGGGGGACCGGGGAGCGGGGTGGGTCTGGGGGCTCCAGGCAGTCTGTGCCCCCTGGCTTCGTGGAGCATCAGCCCTGAGCGTGGTGGCTGGCGCGGGTGCTGGGCGTGCCCGGGCTGTCAGCAGTCGGGACGGGGCCTGCCCGCCCTGGGCACGAAGGAACGCGTCCAGAGCCCTGGACTGACGAGTGGCCTCTTGCTGCCCAGGCCAGGCTTTGCCAGCTCTCGCTTGGCCCTCGGAACCAGCGTGTCTGTCCGCCATGAGGAACACCAGCAAGGAGCTGCCAGGCTCGAACCGCTACGCTCCCTGCGGTGAGTGCCGAGTGCCGATCCCACCTCCTCTCCTCCCCAGGAAGGAAGCTGCACCTTGCTCTGCCCCACGCTTGGAGGGACGTGCAGGAGGTTGAGATGGTTCAATGAGTGATTTTAGTTTCAACCACAGCATCCCAGGGTACCCATCCTTTTTCAATTGTTTGTGTTTGCTTAGTAGAATTACTCTGGAATTTTCTCTGTAATGTAAGCCCTGTGTAACAGAACCGATGCACTTTTGATTTTAGTTCTCTCTCTCTCTCTCTCCTCTCTCTCTCTCTCTCTCCTCTCTCTCTCTCTCTCTCTCTCTCTCTCTCTCTTTCTCTCTCTGTGTGCGCTCATGAGTGCACGGGCATGAGTGGTGTGTGTGCGTGTATGTGTATGAATGCGTTTCCTTGGTTGCCGATCTTGCTCCTGATGTAGACTCCAACCAAGTTAACTGTATCACCTACTTTAAAGTGAATCCCATGGAACTTAGGGGAGGAGGGAGGCGGTGCATGTAAGAATAGGGATTCTCATTTACTAGAGTTTGAAACTGAGATAAGGGAATGAAAACTTGATTTGTCTTGAATTTTTATACTTCCTCTCTTGTGAAGATTGGGGGAAAATGGAGAGGTGTCCTTAGGGTCCTCTGGGAGAGGCTGTCACAGCTGTCAGGTGCACTGTCTGCCTCAGGTCTACCTAGAAGTGGGCAGTTATTGAGACCTAGTGTGTGATGTAAATGGATTCCTAACCCAGAATTTTACCTGTGATCATAATTAATGGAGAGCTGAAAACGGGGGATGAGGAGACAGATAGGACTCCTCTAGAGTTCCTGCCTACATATGGGCTCCACACTTTTCTGAGACCTCCCAGTGCCCTAGTGTGACCCCACCTCTCTGAGCAGTGTTTGACTCTTTATTGCTCTTAGCATCGTCTCAAAACAACCTGAAGAAGTATGATTAATGTGCTTTGTCAATAAGGAAACATAGGTAATATTCCTTTACCCAGTTTTAAGCCCCCAAAGAATGGAGCCTGGGTGACCACTTCAACTAGACCTTGTGGCTTTCATGCAAGTAATTGGAGCAAAGGCCCCCAGACCAGACATCTCTGAATCTTAGTCTTCCCAGACTGTATCACCCAGACTGTCTTCTAATTGGCAGAACAGGACCACTCATCTTGCCTAAGGGAATGTAAGGAGGCTGTGTAAAGGCATCTCCATGACAAAATCAGATCAGTGATCTGTGTGTCTGTCTGTCTGTCTGTCTGTCTGTCTGTCTATCTATTATCTATCTATCTATCTATCTATCTATCTATCTATCTATCTGACAATTCCAGTGATTTTAGGATCTTACACTCTAGTTATTGTAAATTTACCTATAGAAAATTTCCCTTTAGTTATTATAAATTACCCCTGATTAGAGCTCAGTGCCTGCCTGGAGCTTTCAGTAATGAGAAGAGGGTAGAAGGTACACTGTCTCTGTTCTCTGTGGATTAATTAATAATCAAAACATAGAGGTAAATAATAATGGGGAAATTGGAAGCTTTTTCACTAAAAGAGAAAATTCTTAAGCTAAATGTGATCTAAGTATGTGATCTTATTCTTAAATTCTCTGTGAGTTCTGCACAGTTGTGTAAACTTTTCCCATTTTTTTCCCTTTGAACTATTAAATCTTGGGCCAGGGATATAAATCAGGTAGAATGCTTGACCTGCATTTTTAGGTCCTGGGTTTGATCTTTGAGAAAGACAAAAATAAATATAAACTGTAATCTTGAAGCATCTAGTTACAATCATTTTGATCTTTAAAAGATTTGTCCTTTGGTGAAGGGAAGGTCACACTGGTGATGAGGTTGGTGCTAGAACATTTAATACTTGAAACAACTGTATTATGAACAGCTTAGTAAATAATAATGTTATGATACAAATTTCAAAAAATAAAATATTTCTCGTTAAATATCATAATTTTTGCACAAGTGATGTGGTTCAGTGGTAGAGCACTTGCCTTGCATGTGAGTGTCTGGGACCAGCACAGCACAGTCCCCTGTGTACTTCTGGGAGGAGGCCCTTGGCACTGGGCCAGGAGCAGCTCATGCATATTACTGTGGTGTTCCAACCTCCCGATATTCCCTGAATCATTAACCTTTATTTATTTTTGTTTATTTATTTATTTTTGGGAAGTCCCCATGACATATTTGACCAACGAGGATAGACAATTCAATATATATCATTGATTTTTTTTATGCAATAAACCCACTTTGGTTCTAAGTTGAATTATTTTTTTCATTCTAAATAGACCTTTTCCATTTATTCCTTCTTGTTCATGGGACACTTCTGTCTATTATATAAATATCCACTGAATAAAAAGTCTATTCAGCACCCTTTTCTGTGTTTCTATTATAGCAGAAAAGAAAGAAATTGGCTTATATATTTTTAAAGGCTATTAGTTCAAAATATGCAAGATAGATTGTGAGACTAGAGACTTAGAGAAGAGTTCATTGTCCAATTTTTAAGTCCAAAGGCCACATGGAAACCAAATTCTTTCCTTCTCAGAGGACCTTAAGTTCCTTAAATGATTAAGTCCTACATATGACAGAACCGTGGTCTTTTTTGCACTTAAAAATCTCTTTATCTAAATGCCAATTACATTTTCAATACCACTACACCCATGTGTCATATCATGTTTAAACAAATATCTGATTACTGGGCCCAGCCATACTGAAGCAAAATTTACCCATCACCTTTGCCATCAGTGAATTTCTGTGTTAGACTCTTAATGGCATGAATTTGCAGCAGCTTGTTTTATGTTCTTGAGTCACTTAGTGACTCACTTAGATTATATTGGTTTTTTTTTTTTACCTTCTTCCTATGCTTTGTTTCCAAAGTTTTCAATCAGCTGTGATTTTTCAAAAAAATTTGGGCATGATGTAAATCAGTTAATCATGCAGAGTCACCAGCAGTACCAGTGTTCCTAGGTCTCTCTGGGACCACAGATTGACAGTGATAATTGTAGGTTCTTGGACGTCTGCCTCCTCCTTCCGTTTTTGCTTTGACTCTCTTTCCGTTTCCTCCTCTTTGTCCTTCAAATGTCCCTGTCCTATAGATATTACACACTATGTAAAAAAACATAGCAGACATTTAACCAGTTAACTCACTATGTTGCAACTTCATGGAACCTAATTTAATGTTTTCAAGGAAGCACAATTCAACCACTTTACTAATGTGCCTGATTATACTGCCAGATTATTTTAATAACCCTCTAGAGTTCTTGTTATCCCCTCAATTCTGACTTCTAGGACTGTCCAATGACGGCTTCAAACTCAGATGAAAAGAAAGGGTTTTGTGGGGAGGGCCCAGGTCTTAGAGGTGGGTCTCACTGAATGTTGTTAAAAAAAAAAAAGAAAGAGTGGGTTTCCCTACAGGAACCTGATTCAGTAGTCTTCTGCTCTTGTCAAACTGATAGATATTTTTATAGTTTTCTGACAATTTGCATTTCAGTTGGTATAATGCACTGAGTTGATCAGCTCTTGCCTGGCATTGGGCCACATGTTCCAGGTCCTTAATTATCAAGTCCCTCTTGTGTATTTTTCAGGACATTGTATTCTCCAATATATTCAAAAAGAAGTTTAGTTCCATTTTACTGAAGGATTGAAATGAGAAATAACATTTGACACACACCTGAGGGAATTTGGGTAGCTAATTGATAAATTAAAAACTCAATAGATAAGGATCTGCTCCTACTATTTTGAAATAGGAAGGCAGCCTTAGCAGAGAAATAAGTAGGCCCTGGTGCAAGGTGCTCTTACTTTTGCCTGGATCAGCTGCTGTCATGCTGGGGGCTTTTATTCTAGATGTTTAATTCCATGGCCAGGAGGGCTGTTGTATTAAAGAGGGCAGTTTCTTCCATGCCAAAGTCCTGTAGTTTCTTCTCCCATGCTAAGATCCTATGGAGTCTGAGATTGGCATTGTTTTCAATTAGTGAACTAAGCCAGTCTGAACACCTCATGTAACAACTTGCTTCTTGGCCTCATCTTTTCTAGACTGGTATTACCACCTTCCTGTGAAGCGATCTGAGAAAGCTGTGGATGTTCCTCCAGTCTCCCAGATCCCAGGTCTGAGCCATCTGCGAGACATACCTAATGGGCACCCATTTGGGACTCGGAGGTATTGGGTCAAAGAAACAGATTCAGAATATGTGAAATTGGCAAAGCAAGGTGGTCGGCCTGGTAAGTCCACATTATGTTAAATATTTCTACTTGTGGTAAGAATTGCCAGGGACTTCCCAGCTGTCATTTCTTCATATGAAAATAATACTATACAGATCCTTGAGATTTTTTTCTCCAAGACATTTGGAAACTTAGGTAATTTGTATAGTTAGGATATATTATATTTAGGGATGTACTACTTTTATTGAGAAGTTAAACTGAATAGTCTTTGAATTTATGATGATATCTAGGATCTTTCTTCTAAATGACACCTTGTCCCCTTTTCATTTCTAGTTACAGAGTCTCAAAAAAATTTCCACTTCCACAGAGGAGCTAATTTTGCCTTTTAATGGCAGTTACTGGGGCAACTCCTTTCTCATGAAATATTTTTATTTCCTTTTTTGTCTATTGTTTAATCTCATGCCCCCTGTCCTCTATATCAATGTCTTAAGTATATAAGACCATAGATGAGCCTTAGTGTGATGTTGTGGACATTCATTTTTAATTAATGTTTGAATCAAGAAAGTATTGCTTGTTTATGTCAATAGAAATTTCTGACCAAAGGCTAAGATATCATATTTAAATAACTGTTGACCTTGTTGTTTGTGATACACATGCTATGTTGTTCTTTTTTTTAATCTGCCTTCATTCCTAAAGAGGTAGTCAGGGGAAATGGGAAACAATAGGACAATATCTGAGCTTGAATGTTAAAATCTGAGTACCTGATGTGAGCACAAAGAAGGTATACAGATTGCCTAATATGTGGTCATTCTCAACATCACTAATGTCATTCATTCTAACTTCCTGATATGTATGGAACACCTGGAAAAATCTGAATCATATATGCAAATTAACTTTTCTCTATTATTTTTGTTTTGGGGTTCACCTCTGGTCCCTATAGATGTTCAAGGGATCATGAATTGTCCAGGATCAAACTTTTAGCTCATGCATATAAAGCCTGTGTATACTAGTCCTTTGTGGTATACCCACAGCCAAGATTTTTCATTTTAATCATTATATTGAGAATATATCATAACTGACTTTTGGAAACTTCCACTGGAATAAATAGAGATAAAGGGACTTCATGTCTGTCCCTTGTTTCCAACTGTCTCTCAAGACAGAATGATAGTACTACTGATGTGAGGGCAGGGGCCAGGGCAGAGAGAGAGAGAGAGAGAGAGAGAGAGAGAGAGAGAGAGAGAGAGAGAGAGAGAGAGAGAGAAGAGAGGAAGAGAGAGAGAGAGGGAATGTTATAGCAAACATGATGAGGGACTATGGATGCTGTTGTTGTTTAGGTATAGCATGTGCCTTAAATGTATGAATTCCTTAATTTGACCACTGACACTGCTCCAAACAATCAAGGTGGCAGGAGATGGGTGGAGAGAGCTTAGTAAGCTAGAGAGTGTGCTTTGCATGTAGGAGGCCAGAGTTCTATCTCCAGTGCCCTGAGGTTCCCCCAAGCACCAACAGGAGAGACCTTCGAGCATTGAGCTTGGTAAGCCTCTGAGTACTGCCAGATATGTACTGGTTCCAAAACAAACAAATTATCATATAAAATATAATTTTCCAGTTGGGAAATGGAAATCAAGTCACTAAGTCAAGACTACACAAGTGTGTGTGTGTGTGTGTGTGTGTGTGTTTTGGTTGGTTGTTGGATCACACCAGGCAGTGCTCAGGAGTTACTATTGGCTCTACACTCCAGGTCCCTCCTGGAAGGCTAGAAGGACCTTATGGGGTGCTGGGGGATCAAACCTATTTGGTCCACATGCAAGGCAAGCACCCTACCCACAGTAACATTGCTCTATTCCACCAAATTTGAAATTTATTTCTTAGTCTGAAATATTTTATGATCAAAAGTAAAAAAATCTTTTGTCTTTCTTACCATTGTACCTGTGGAGAGCCAACCCACTGACAAAGCTCTTGGAGTCAGTGGGGAACAGAGCCAGAGCAGGTTGTGTTTGGGGACTCTCTGGAAAGAAGCTCCTGCTTAGTCTCTCTCAGGTGCTGACTAACACCTCCACCAAATGATTTACAAAGTTCTGTTCTCCCCTTCCAGTGTAACCCTGGAGTGGGACATTCCTTCCTGAAATGGTATTTGTGCATATATATGAGGTAACAGAAATAGCCCCTGCAATCAGAAAACTGTCCAATTGTCCTGGGCAACCGGATACTGTGAGGATTGCTGATGGCAGCAAGAAACCCATCTCCTCAGTGAGGAGTGTCCTCAGGAATATCCTCCAGAGACCCCTCATAGAGCGACAGACTCCACCAAGGAATGGGTGGATATTGTCATATATTAGTTGCCAGTTCATATTTAGGGCAGAATGGGAGATACTCAAGCTTCCTATATCTGCTGAGCATAAGCAGGGTCCCATCTCAGCATGAAAACTGAGGGCGGAAGACAGGAACCAGCAATTTTCTGTGAACTCAAGGAGCCCAGAGTCAGCCATAAGAAGTACTCGCCCTTCCTCTTGTAAATTGAATCTGTCTTGTAGGGCTCTGCATCTTTGTGGGATAGGGACTACTCATGGCTGTTTTCTTTTTGACTTTAAGACCTGTTGAGACACTTCTCTGCCTCTGGGTCAAGGAAGGGCTCTTCACTGGCCTACTCCCTACCAGACTGGTATGTCCACCACAGCAAGCCACCTACAGCTGCCCAACGACAGTGAGTATCACTAGGTGCCACATTCCAGTTTATCTTTATAGAATAAAAAAATTAGATTCAAATTTTAAGTATGCAATTAAGTATGCAATATTCAATTCCAGTACTATTAGTGTGATATTAAAGCTCCAGATAGAATAGTAATATGAGTGCTCAGGGAGGAAGTAATGGGGTTTGCGGAGCAGTAATAGTGGTTAGAGAACCAGTCTTGAAATATTTACATATTTGTTGATCTGAAGTTGTAGATCTTACAGATGAAAACATTGCTTCAAGTTTGGTTCTCTGTATCAAAAGTCTGGTCACTCTACCTCTTATTAATAACAGCTTGTCCCAAGGTCCTTTTTTCTTTAAAGAAAATTAGAAATACAGGAAGTGTTCAGTTTCTGTTAGCAGAACTAATAGTGAACCATTGTCCCTCATAATATTTGAAGTCAATAAAGAATGTCTATGTCCAAGCATAAAGATACTAGCTTTATGTACCACTCTTTGACTAAGAAGTCATAGGAAAAGACTCTTGGAATCATATTTCTGTATTTTTTGGAGATCATGAAAGACTGATGTTTCCATTTTGCCTCCCCATATTCCTGTCTCAGCAAGGCTCTACCCATGCTAATGTCATAAACCCATTTTTCAGATTCTTATCCCCCATCTCTTTAGAACTGATAGTCTGGGCTAACACAGCTTGCCTCTAGAATGCCTAGGAGAGAAAGGAAATAGGCAAGCAGGAGAGAATGCTACATAGGGCTCCGAAGGTTAGGGGTAGGGTGTTTTGGGGAGCTGGCTTCTTTCTCTTGGTTCTGTAGTTGTCTGATATTACCCAGGCACAGGGGCTGAAAGATTTCCAACTCCCCTGCAACTTCCAGGTTCTGTGTTTTCGTGTTGTTTCCTGAAGCCTGACAGTGTTTGCTAGTTCTTGGCCACAGGGCCTAGGCCACACTGACTGTCCTTCCTCATGTCTGCTTTTTCCCTCCCTGTCACAATACCAAGTCCCATATTGAAAGATAGAAAATAACACTTTCCACTCTTCTCTGTGTGGTCTCAGTTCTATAAACATCTGTAGGGTGTCTGCTTCAGGGCTTTTCTAAATACTTAGAAGGAAGCCTAAGTGAAAAAGTTCCAGCTTGGCGTCAGTGATAATTGGTGAGCTCAAACAGAGTACTGCCTCAGGGTTTTGGAATGATTTCTTCAATTTTTTTTAGTCCTCCTATCTTTGTTTCAGATTTTTTCTTTCCATAGAGCATATGGGAAATGAGAAATGGGAGGCTGAAAGAAGACAGCCTGGCTGAGCTATTCCTTAAGTGAATTGGGAAAGTTAGGAACCCAGTTTTCCATACTTATATCTCAAGTCAGGCCTGCATGGAGCTTTTTCCCAGTGCTCTAGTCTCCTCGTCCCCACACTGTTATTCCCAGTTTCAGCCATCTGCTCCCTGGCCCCTGCAAGCATGACCTCCAGGATTCCTAACTGCCTCCTCTGCCATCCAGTCCCTTCCAATTGAACTTCCACTCACTCTTCTGACTGTTTTTCCCCTGTGATGCCAGATATTTCTTTTGAAGACCCCTGCCACCACCCATCTGACTTGACTACTCTCCTCCCCCTCCTTCCTCTCCCTTTCCCTGATCTCTTCTGCTCTTCTCTATTTTTCCTTTTTTCTCCCTCCCCTCCCCTCCCCTCCCCTCCCCTCCCCTCCCCTCCCCTCCCCTCCCCTCCCCTCCCCTCCCCTCCCCTCCCCTCCCCTCCCCTCCCCTCCCCTCCTCTCCCCTTCCCTTCCCTTCCCTTCCCTTCCCTTCCCTTCCCTTCCCTTCCCTTCCCTTCCCTTCCCTTCCCTTCCCTTCCCTTCCTGCCTTCTCTCCTTGTGCTTCTGCTCCTGGAAGTGCATCTTCTCCATTCCCTTCTTTCTACATGCTCTGAGTCCAACCTACATTAATTATTCTATGAAAATGAAATCCTTCCCTCCCCATTTCCATTTTATTGGTCACCTTCCACCTACCTCTAGGCCTGAGTTTGGCCTCAGCCTTCTTAGTCAGGCTGCCTGGTGGAGGTGCAGTTGCCAGTGTGTTGGTGAGGAAACCCTCTGCCTTGCTGCTCCTGGGAGCAGGCCTAGTTTTTTTTTTCCGGTATCTTGGAGTTCAGGTGTGCTGTAAATAGGAAAACTGCTGAATGTTTTAATGCCACTAAATGATTACCACCTGTGTAGTGTTATGTGTGAAATCCTGTGAGCAATAGTCCTTTAACTCACAGTGCAAAACCTTATTTTTAAGAAAGTGCCCATCGTAGGAGCAGCTGTGGGTAGGCAGCAGATGAGGAAAAGCATTAGGGGAGGGCAGTGGACACTATGAAGTTGGGACATTGTGGGAACATTTATTCATGATTTACCTGACACCCAATCATGACAGTGACTAAATTGAAAAAAAAAGACCACCTAATATAAACAAAAGGGTTTTATTATATTAAATCATGTAAAATGATTTAATATGGTAGTACATTACATTATTCTCTGCCGAAGGCTATTAAATAATGTGACATGTCAAACATATTACTGGATCGTTAAATCATGTTAAGTGTTTGAATTGAGGGGAGCTTTGTATTTTGAGAGACAAAGTAGGTTATGTTACAGAAATATCTTTTTAAGAGTCCATAATTTAACATCACTAATAAATCACTGATTTCTGACTTAACATACTGACTCTGGGATATCGGTAATGGAGAAGGCAAGTGTTTTCCTCTAGCTGAGCAGGGACTTGAGGGGTTCACTGGAGTCCTCAGGAGTCTGTGTGGGAAGAGGAAGGGTAAAAATGTCTAATACTCAAAGCAGAGACTGAGCATCAGTGTGGATTTCTCACATCTCTTTTCTTTAGAATTCCTGCTGTCTCTATGCCAGATTACATGGTGTATGAGGAGTTTAACCCTGATAAGACCAATGGTACTTATGAGTCCAAAAGAGGTCCCTTCGATTTTGACATGAAGACGGTTTGGCAACGAGATGCTGATGAACTTGAGGAGAAAAAAAAGGTGATGGGAGCTATAATTGTGTCTGCTATGCTCTGTCGCTTGCTCCCTGATTAAGCAAAGTCTTTCCCAGCTGCCAGCATAGGTCTCCTATTTGTCTGCCTGTATTTTAAATTGGGAACTACTGAAAGGCAAGCAACCATGATAAAAATGTCTACGCTCTTTTCTATAACTCATGTAAAATTACGTTTTGTTGAGCTTCAGGTGATTAATGCTTAACTAGAAGGGAACTCACATCCAGCATGCATTAAAAAATGTTTTATTTTATATGTATTTATTACATGGTTTCTGAACACTTTAATTTTATTTAAATTATTAATTTTTAAGTTATAGTTTGGCTAGACACTCTTTGTATTGACAATAAAGAGACAATACTGTTTTGTTCAATGGAGACGTTACTGGGCCCGCTCGAGCAAATCGACGATCAACGGGAGGGCCTTTACCTTTACCTTACTGTTTTGTACAATAAATAAGGGCTGTGTTTGGGATGGGCTGGAGCGATAGCACAGCGGTAGGGTGTTTGCCTTGCACGCAGCCAACGTGGTCGACCTGAGTTCGATTCCTCTGCCCCTCTCGGAGAGCCCGGCAAGCTGCCGAGAGTATCTCGCCCGCACGGCAAAGCCTGGCAAGCTCCCCGTGTCATACGCGATATGCCAAACACAGTAACAAGTGTCACAATGGAGATGTTACTGGACCCGCTCGAGCAAATCGATGAACAACGGGAGGACTGTGACCATGACCGTGTATTTGGGATGGCAGAGCTGCTGGCACCAAGATAGAAACCTAGTTATGTAGTTGTGATTCAAAACAAGCAGCATCTCTAATTGTTAACTCCGGAGAGGTTATGATATCTGAATTTGAAACTCTTTATATCCCCATGCCTGAATCTACCCCTAAGGTCTTCTTGTTGCCTTTGGGACTTTGTCAATTTGGTCTGATATTAGCCTTAGGTCATTGACCCTGGGATTTGAAAATGCTCTTTGTGAAAAGGCAACATTTATATTAAAATTAATGGTGCTTGGGGGACTGGAGCGATAGCACAGCGGGTAGGGCATTTGCCTTGCACTTGGCTGACCTGGGTTCAATTTCCAGCATCCTATATGGTCCCCCAAGCACCGCTAGGAGTAATTCCTGCGTGCAGAGCCAGGAGTAACCCCTGAGCATCCCTGGGTATGACTCCAAAAAAGCAAAAACTAAAATGAAATAAAAATAATGGTGCTTTAGTGATAATAAGAGAAAGTCTATAATGGTCTTCACTCCCAGGGGGAGACGTATTTTCCCACACACACATACTAGTAGTAGTCCAAATAGCTTACAAAATTTAGATAAAATCTCACAGCAAGCTACCGAGTATCTTGCCCACACGGCAAAGCCTGGCAAGCTACCCATGACGTATTCGATATGCCAAACACAGAAACAGCAAGTCTCACAATGGAGACATTACTGGGCCCACTTGAGCAAATTGATGAACAGCGGGAGGACAGTGCTACAGTGATGTGCTAGTTGTTGCAGTGAGCTATGCCTGACTCCCAGGTCTCACCTCTCAGTAACCTTATTTGCATTAAACCCCCCAAATGTATGGTTTATTGGAAAACATAAGTAGATAAATACAACATAGAATGGTAATTGTGGATGATAGGTAGTATGGATTTTTTAAGATAGTTTCACTGTCTAGCAGTGATTTTCCTTTTGGTATGTATTTGTACATTTAGTGAAACAGACTAATTTTAAAGATCAGTTGGTTATATTTAAGCAACTAAAAAGGAAGTTTCTAATAATTTATGAAACATTAACCATACTAAAGTGAAGATCTGGAGAAGCTTTACAACAGGAGATTCTGTACCATCACAATTAAGAGGGGTTATTTAATAACCACTGACAAAAGCTATGCTTGTTTTTTTACTGGGAAGGGGTTGAGCGTTTCAATCATAACCCCTGATGCTTAGGTGCTCTGAGTTTAGGAGTGACTCCTGCTAGTGCTCAGGGTCCTATATGCTATGCCAGATATCCAACTGGAGTGGGCTATATACTAGGCAAACTCCTTACCCCCCTGTATAATTTTTCTAGCTTCCCAAAGCTATGCTTGTGTTTAAACACGCTAAGAAGGTAGGAAGGAAAGAGATTTTATTTAAAAATGTAATAGATGCACATATAAGCAAAAAGATACATGGAATGGCTATAGTCTGTTCAGTTGTTCACCCCTAGGAAAGGGCTCAGGATAACGCTGAGACATTTTAATCACCATTTTGGTATGTTGCTAATCTAGAGACATCTAGTGTGTAGAATGGTAGTTTGTTGTAATGTAGAATGGTAGTTTGTTGTAGATGTGGGTGTGTGTGGCATTCTTTTTAAAAATATTTCTCTGTAACTGACGATTTTTGCCACACAGCTCGAGTAGCAAATTTAATGTGAAAACATGCCATACCATAACATTGTGCTAGAATTCTGTTGCCAGTGAATGCAAAGGGAAGCCACATAGTGGGAGGAGGTGGCAGCATCCTGCCCACCGTGATGCTGGCAGTGAAGGGCATGCCGGGGAGGTCAGGAGGATGGAAGTTGCTATGAGCTTCTGCACAATATGTCCAGAAAGCAGAGTCCCGCTGGCCTCAATAAGGCAGCAGTCATCTTATACTAGCAGTGCAGTTCTCAGCCCAGTGGTACTGCAGACCACCAGGTCACACCCAGCCATGTCCTGAGGCAGGCCCCAATATGGCATGCCCCATATTGAACTACACCCATTGGAACTCACACACGAGGCAGCCACTCCATCTCTTCAACCTACCTCCCAGAACCCACACTTTGGTTTTGAGACTTTCAGAAGTTCCTTGCATGCCTTCCTCATCCTGAAGGCATTTATTCTCCTCGCTCCCCAAACCCAGTTCTTCTGTTCTTTTCAATTGACACTAGAGAGGATAGCTCTAGTGAATCTTATTTATTCTTTCAGAATTGTCATATATTCTTACAGTAAATGCTTGCAGTGACTTCTTGAATTTTGTCTGCTTGACTTTTTCTGTTCTATAGCATTTTGAGGCAATTTTTAAAAATAAGATGTAATTTATAGACCTTTTATTGAACATTAGTCTACATATTCTGACAAATACACACATACAGAACCACCACAATCCTCCCTCCCCACAGTCAGATTTACAAGTATCTTTGTTGTCACCTTCTCCTCCAAGTCACTAAAGTTTTCAAGTTCTCTTTTCAGACTCAGTACATTTACCTGCAGGCCCCTTTTCTAACGAGCCATTCTCTTTACCATCTAGTTCCCAGCAACTTAGGACCTTGCTTTCTTCATCACCCATATGTCTCTCATTTGCTGGTCCTTTACTACATCTGAATGTTCACTTGTGTTCACTTCCTGTGGCCATCTGATCACCATTCCATACCTTTTGGCTAAGTTATCTCTGCTCCACTGTTCTCTCTTCTCTGAGTTCATCCATAGTTTCCGAAAACATCCTTCTCCTACCTCCATGAGTGTCCTGTCTGGATTGTGACACCCATCTCAGATGCCACCCTCTCCTCTCCAATAACCTCATCCCTCTGAATTTCTTTTTTGTTGTTGTTATCACTATGATTTGTATGTATACTATTAATAGTAGGGTTTCAAATACCAAACATTCCTACACGACAACCCCTACAAGAGTGCTCATCATCTTCTACCATTGCCCAGTGTCCCAGTGTGATCCTCCCTTTTTATCCCTCCATTCCCCCCACAATGGTAATCTTCCTACTAAACATCAGTTCTCAGTTTCTGTTGCTTTTGGGCATTTGTTATTCCCTTACAATGTTTCCTTATGTCCCACATTTGGAAGATCTTTCAAGGTTGAGGCTGTACACACTTGTCCTTCACTGATAACTCTGGTGATGTTATGAGGGAGAAAAGGTACAGGATTTTCTTATCTAAGTGGGCAGGATGAAACTACACTTAGGAGTTACACAAGAACAAGTCTTGAATTTCAGTGTTGTTTTCTTTTTGTTCTACCTTGTCATCCCGCTGAGTGAAATGATCCAAGATATCTTCATGGATCTCTCTATGCCTCATGGACTTCTTGATTTTGGCACTACAGAAAGGCTACTTGTCCTTCAGGTCTGACATGCCTATTTCTAGGAAGTAGGGAGCCCCCTACCCCTTATTTTTGTTTTTGTGCCTTATCTGGTGATGCGTGGGACATATTCCTGGTGCTCAGGGCTTATTCTAAGCTCATATAGGGCACAGGGGGCCATGTGGGGTGCTAGGAGTTGAACATGGTTCTGCAAAACAAGCATTTCCCTGTTGTATTAGTTCTCCGGCTCATAAAGGAGTCCCTTGGTGTTTTAGTGTTCCCAGAATATTTATCAGTATTAATTCCTGCTGTTTCTTCCTGAGTAGGTGTTATCTTGATCACACTGTTTTTAAATTACCAGTAGTCTCCTTTACACAACTATTTTGTCAGATAGGACTATATTTGAATCATATTTTGTTATGGTTCTTTAATAATACACTAATAACCACACTGTAAGACCTACCCTAATGTTACATGCTTTTGCTACTGTTTGCAGTTTTTCTTCTCTTTTGCCATCTAAGCTACTGAATATCACTGAATCTGGATTTTCTATGTTTCTTTGCACAGGTGAAGCTGCCAGCCATTAACTCAAAGTATTCAAGCAAATTGGGGACCCCTCTAGGCCCCAGAGATGCTGCAGGAAGACTTTCCTTCCCTCCCATGTAAGTGACTGTGTAGAGCCAAGTCAGCCACAATTGAACTTGGGGATTCTACATACCCAAATGTTAATGGCAGTGACACATAACAAAATGACAGTAGTGACAGTTACAGCAACAACATGCTATGCTAATTTCAGTCCCCAGATACTACTTCCCAACAATATATTTTGGAACTGTGACTCTGATATTATAACTTGCTACTGCCCATTCCACAGAGCATGCTGGTCTAGACTTATCTCCCTCCCTCCCTTCTGGTTTCTGTGTTCTCTTTCTGTCAGGTTCATGGCCCTGCTCGTAACCCTCACTTCCCCCAGGACTCCAGTTTCTCCACCCAGCTGTTCACTTCAGCAGCCATACCATATTTGAGGCCAACTTACAATATTCCACCCTCACAAAGACTCTTTGATCAATAGCATCCTTTGATGTTTTAAGCCACTTGTTTTTGTGCAGGCATGCTGCTCAGTCCATAGGTTTTATATCACTGTGTCGTCCCTTCTGGTGTGAGTGAGTGCCTACCCCTGTTGCACTCCTATCTAGAGCATAAAACTCCTGAAGTCACGGGTTTTGAGTTTCTTTTTCTTTTCATAAATTCTAGCTTAGTGCTGAATTGATGCATCAATTGTCTGATTCTTCTAATAACTTTTTTTTTCCTGATGGAGAGAAGAATAGTCAATTATTTACATAGTATGACACATACCATAAGAACACATTTCAAACTGGAAGGAAAAATCATACATCTACACAAATTTACAAATTTACAAATTTATAAATTGAGAGAAATCAAGGAAGAGAACACATGTGCCAATAAGAATACCCTTGAATCTTTAAAACATGCTTTGTATATAGGGAGCCTGGATTTGACTCGGTACCACTAGGAGTGAGTCCTGAACACAAAACTAGCTAAGAATATTACTGATTTGTAAGTGGGACTGAGAACAGGAGCTGCATGTTATTTGTTTGATTTCTATCATGCTGTTTCTATTCATTTACCTGTCTCTTCAGTGGGGGTTGTGAATGGAATATGTAGTCCCAGAGGTGAATGACAGTGGGTGGGAGAGCTGCGTGAGAATAAGTATGCCTAATCTTTAACACAAATAAGAAAGGAGAGGGGGAGTGGGATATTTTCTGAATGTGACCTTAAGAAATGATCATACACTCTGCCCTTAGAGCTGTTTTTCTAGATTAAACTTATTATTTAGTTCATTATTAATGTGATGCATTTTCTAGAAATCTTGTGGGCTAATACTAAAACCTCTGTACTTAAGATAACATTTTTCTCTTTTTGAGGCATGGTCAAAAACACAGTTCACCTACAAACTTTTCCAAACTCATTAGCAATGGTTATAAGGATGAGTGGTTACAGCAGCGATCTGATTCAGAAAAGCGAACCCCACAGGCATCCAGAGCTGCAGCATCATCATCTCAGGCCACACAGGATGCTGAGGAGAACCGTGACGAAGAACCAACCACGGATTCAAAGGTTCCTGAAGGCTCTGAGAAGGACCAAGGTAAGGCCACCCAAAAGTTATTTTCCTTGGAAAATATTTTTCCTAAAACCTTTTGTTCTTTCTGATAGCACTGTTGACTTTTTTCCTATAATGTGTAATCTAATTGAGTAAACAAAAAACATGTAAAAATAAAGCATTGGGTTTGCAGGTACTTATGAGGGCGAAATAAGATTTTTTTAATTAAAGTTTGTTTATTGAATCACTATGAGAAATGATCATATTATACTTCCTTTAGTTGAATGTCATAAAAATAAAATTTCAGGAACTGAACCAAGTGTGCTCTAAACATATATGACGGTTATTTGAAAATGGAGGGGGGTGGCTCAATGTGTTATATTTTTAAGAGACAGTAATAACATCATTTTTTTTCTTTCCTTTTCTATTTGGTTTTGTGAATAAACCCAGCACCCAGTAGTGCTTGGGAACTATATACAACTATACCAGCTATACCTGGCTGAGTTCTGAGGGATAATTTCTAACAGTGCCAGGTACTTATCAGGGTGAAATATGGTTTTTCTTATTAAAGATGTTTCTTCATTGAATCACCGTGAGATAGACCCTCACAAGCTGTTTATGATTAAGCTTCATTCATAGGTATTCCAACACCCAACCCTCCACCAGTGTACAATTCCCCTCCCTCTTTTATTAGATGAAGAGAAAACTCATGCTTTCTAATTGCTCCACTTTTTTTCTTAAACTTGTCATGAATTTTAATGTTTTACTTGGTATACCAAAAAAATGATATATCAAATAATGGCAATTTTAGCCCCCAAAATCCAGAAGATTCTGCTCTGCAATGCTTGGCCTTCTATATTAACTTTTGGTCCTCCTGTGAGGCAGCTTCACAAAATATCTCAATTATTTTGTTCATTTTAAAAAGATTTTATAGTTCAAAAGGAAATTGTTTCATTATTGGCACATTTTAAAATTTGTTACAGAATTTTGCATAGTTATGTTTCCCTACTTTCCAGTATATTAGTTTTGATGCTTATATCCAAAAGTGTGTGCCACAATAACAGGTAGAATTAGTCTCACGTTTATTCTTAAAATCTAATTGAGCATTATGCTTAATTTCTGTAACTCTTGTCTTTTTATTCCAATTAATTATTTTTAAGTCAACATAATTTATAGTTATTTATGATTGAGTTTCAGGCTTGCCATGTGCCAACACCAATCCTATCACCAGTGCCAAATTCCCTCCAACAGTGCTCCCATTTCCCTCCCACTCCCCCCTCCACCTCTCTATATGGCAAACAGGTGTTTCTTTTTTTCTCTCTCTCTTTATTTTAGGCATTTACCAAAAGGGTCCCTAGTCTCTATAATCAAGAATAACAGTAATGCGAATATGTTCCAAGGAATACTTTGTTAGGTGATTTTGTTGTGAAACATCACAGTTATACAAATGACAGATGCTGCTGCTCACATTGACTGTGGCACAGCCTTTGTGTGTATGGTCCCTGACTGACAGAAATGTGATCAGAGATGCCTGACTGTGGACCTTCAGGTAGCTGATTTTTATTTCTGAGGCTCCATTTCTCTGATTGAAGGGGAATAAAGAATGTTATAACTCTCCATGCATAAGTGGTGTTTTAGAAGCAGTACATCTGTTTATATTTTTCTGACTGCTTGTTAGGGACAGTGTGTAAATAGGGTGAGAAAGTATTACTATGGATTAGTGCCTTGCCCACTTTCCCACAGTCCTTTGGATAAGCAACAAGTTTGTAATTTATGTTGTTAAACAGAACATTTTATATGAGAGGGAATGTTGGCCCACACTGGTGGTATTCAGGAACTACTCCCTATTCTGTACTCAGGAATTGCTTCCAGCAGTGTTCAAGGGGACTATGTCCTGTAGGAAGGAATCAGAGTCAGCTGCATGTAAGACAAGCATCTTAGTACTTGACCATTTCTCTAGTTCTAACAGTGCACTTTTAAAAAACTTTATTATGTGAGTTGTGTTCTGTGATTTTTATATTTAGTAACATAGCCTTTTAACATAACTAATCATTAAAAATACTGAATCTTTTAGTAGTTTATTTCATTAAATGAAATGTTATGTATTTGTTCTTTATTACAGAGTCTTCTTCTCCAAGTGAGTATTCATAAGGAAACTGACCTGCATCCAAACAGGAAAATGCTCGTGCATAAAGAAAATGAACATTTTTTAAAAAAAAAAAACTGAAACAGAGAGCTTCCTGCTGCCTATTACATCTCTTTCCAAACTGAATGTGTTCTCTTTTAAAATCTGGTTCTAGTTACACTTTTTTAAAAAAAGTCAAAGTTCTAGAACTACAGTTTAAGGCTTGGAAAGGGACCACTTACATTGTGACAAATTAAAAGATACTTTTATTATTTGCATGTATTACACATGATAAAATACTTGTAAGCCATGTTAGTTTACAGTAAGGCATTTTAGTTTGTGGTTCAGAGATACGCATTTATTATATCCCAGTTGAGAGGTGTAGATTTAAGTAATGGAAGAGAGAAATGAAAGACTGAGGGAGGACCTGATTTTAACATAAAAATGCAATAGGCATAGGGGCTCACCTGCAAAGGCACTGCAGTCTTTCAGAATTGTACTAGAGCATGGTTTTAATTAGATAGAACTGACTGAACCGCTAAGAAAATTTATGATCCAATCAAGGTGCTATCATTTGACATTAGTATACATTTGTAAATGTTTTAACCAGAAATAAATTATCACATGTTTTAAATTAGTAGCAAGACCTGCTTTATATTGAAAGAGCATTTTAGCCATTCCCAATTAATGGAAAACTAAGTAGTACGTTTCAGGATTTGCCGGAAGGCCCAGCATTTGCTGCAGTGGCCCTGCATGTTTCTCGCGGTAGCTAAGGTATTCCTGAGAAAATTTCTGGTGCCTTGCCCTCTCTGAGCCCAAGTTCATGGCCCTCTATGCTCTCTTTTCTACATATATTTCCTCTCTTGTACAGTTTGGCTTTAGAAATTAGGTAAAAATGATTAGAGTGTGCCTTTTCCTTCAGCCTTTTCCAGAGTTTCCTACTTTGGAGAACACTTAGGAAACTCTGAGAACCTGCCACCTTAACGTTTGTATCTTATCAAGTTTCATCAAAGTTTCTTTCCCTCCTGGAGACACAGAAGTTTTTGTTGTTGTTTTTCCTTATTGAAAAATGTTACTGCCATTGCCAAAGTCATCTGCGTGTCAGAAAACTGCCTTTGGATAACTTTACAGTGTTGTACTTTGAGTCAATATTAAAGAAAGTCCTCTTGGCTTTTGAGAAATGTGCAATCATATTAGACTAAACCTCCTCCTTCCAATTGTCCGTGCCTAGGCAGTGCTAATACTATTAGTTCAGCTCAGCACACTAAAGCCAACCACCCTCTCATCGTGTGCAGACTGACTCATACTCTGCGTGTCACCAGCAGGCACTCTGTTCTTGTCTTTGAAGGTTTGAGTAATTTGTGCCTGTGGGTAAGAGTGTGCATGTGAATTTTACAGACTTCAGGAATAACATTTGGAAGTAGGGGCTTGCTTGACTGTGTTTGGTGCCACTGGTGATGCTCAGTGGCTCAGTGCTTGGGGGTTCGTCCCGAGGGTGCTCCAGGAACTGCTGTGCTGCCATAGACTCAGGCTTCTGGCATGCAAAGCGGCTGTTTCTGTCTGCTTTTGAACTATCGCCCCAGATCTGCACTGCACTGTAGCACTGTCCTCCCATTCACCGATTTGCTCGAGTGGGCCCAGTAACGTCTCCATTGTGATACTTGTTGTTACTGTGTTTAGCATATGGAATATGTCACGGGTAGCTTGCCAGACTTTGCCTTGCGGGTGAGATATTCTCAGTAGCTTGCCAGGCTCTCCGAGAGGGGCGGAGGAATCGAACCCGGCTTGGCCGGGCCTGCCACATGCAAGGCAAATGTCCTACCGCTGTGCTATTGCTCTAGCCCTCTCCCCAGATCAATATGTTTTTCTTGTTTTGTGTTCAGATCAATAGGCTGAGGAGGCCAAAAGTCTACAGGCTTTCAGTTATAAAATAAATCCTGGGCATGTAATGTACAACAGGGACAGGGACTATAATACTATATCACATATTTGAAAGTTGCTAAAAAAGTACATCTTAGAAGTTCTAATCACTGTGGCACAGACAGTACAGAGGATAAGGTGTGTGCTTTGCCTTGACCTGGATTTGATCCTCAAAGCAACATATGTTCCTCTGAGCACTGTCAGGAGTGATCCCTGAGCACAGAGCCAGGAGTAAACCTGGGAAGCTCCAGGTATGGTCTAAAAAATAAAACAAAAAAAGTTCTCATCACAAGAAAAAAAATTCTATGATAATGGATATTAACTAGATGTTGTTGTCATTATCTCACTGTATATTCAAACATCAAAGTATTATGGTGTACTCCCGAAAGCACTGTTATGTGTCAATTATACCCTAAGAAAATAAATATAATTAATGAATTATATTTTAATTTTTGTTTTTATTCATATTTTAAATTTTTTTTCAGATTTTATTTTTATTTTATTTTTGCTTGTTTTTATTTATATTTTTAACTTATAAAAGTATCATCTTTATGTCTTACACTTTGTAATCATGAGTTTACTTTGCATTGCAGGTCGATCAGCTCCCTCATCTGCATCAACACCAGCAGAGCTCAAATAAATCCCAATTAAATCTGCATTTAAGATCATTTTCTAATGGCTAGATTTGATCTAGCTTTTTGCAGTTATATTTATAAAAATTATATTTTAATGACACTGATACTTATGGATTTATCTTATAGAAGATTTTATGATACAAGTGATAGGTTTTGATTTCTTGCGTGTCTTTTTGTTTTGTTTTGCTTTTTGGGCTGCAACCCTGGCAGTACTTTGGGCTGACTCCTGGTGATGCACTCAGGGATCCCTCCTGGCAGGTACTGGGGGACCATTTGGGTTGCCAGGAACTGGACCCAGTAGGCCGGTAGGCCGAGGGGAAGGCAAGTACCTCCCTGCTGTGCTATTTCTCCAGTCCAATCTTTTGCATTTCTTTAGGATATTAAGTGTATAGTCCTTGGAGACTGCAGTACCTTGCTGGCCTGCTGATGGCTTCATGTATCTGAATCAATCACTGTTTCCCTTCAGCTGACATTGACTTCTATGTGTGTGCCTCTATTGGTGGCATTTGTATCAAAATCAGTTTTTTTAGACTATTTCTAAGAGAAACAGAGCACACTTTAAACCTTTTCTATTATTTGGTCTTATAATCTTTGTAGGTGCAATTTTTGTTACAAAAACTTAATTCTAGAATTATTGCAGCACAGTTTATATTATGACAAAGATAAATTCATTATGTCTTGAAATTTTGATCAATTATTAATAAAAGGCAGCATTGGCTAATTTATTTTGCTAATAGTTTTATATAAACTAAATGATAGTAAATATTTATTTTGCAAATGATAAGTAAAATATGTTTAATATTTAACTTAGTGGTCATTTACATGTTTTATAATCAGACTAAATTATCTCATTTAATAAATTTTGTTATTCACCATATCAAAATATATAGTATTTAGCATTAAAACATAGTTTATATATTGTAAACTCAATTCTCTAATAAAAATTTTCTTTGGATGGTTTCAGAAGTCAAATTAATTTTAATATCTTTCTCAGTATAAACTTATCATGCATTTGTTTACATAAAGAATAAAAGTTTTAAATTAGTTTTTTAAATGCTATTTTAAAAACAAATTAGTTTTTACAAGTGAGACATTTTGGGCACATAAATCTATATTGTTTGTGATCAAACTGATAGCATATGGGAGAATGTATGCGGTGTGAAAAAAGGTGCATGTGTTGAATAAAAAGATATTTCATTATAGAAAGGAGTGCTTTTTCCCTTCTTTCCTCCCTTTCCCTCGTCTTCCTTTCTTTACCTCAATTTCTACTTCCCTCCTGTTTGAGAACATTTTCAATATTCTCACCCTTCTGAAAACACCTTCAAGGACAGGTAACAGTGGATTACAACTTTTATTATTTTTAATTGATTTTGGTCTTGGTTTTGAGTGTACAGCCAGCTGTGCTGAGTGTTATTCCTGGCTCTGTGCTCAGGAATAAATCCTGGAGAGCTCAGGGGAACATATACAGTAGAAGTGATCAAACCGGTAGCTGTGTGCAAGGCTTACCCACTAGACGAGTTCTCCAAATAACTATTATTTTTAAACTATTAAGTACCAGAAGTTCATGATTTAGGGAAAGGACGACGAATAAATGCCTGTGATGAAATTTTGGCTCCTCTAGGACAGCCAAAGTACATTACTGAAAAAGCCAATCCTGCAACAATCCTATTGGTAAAATGTAACAATCAAATATATGAAAAGCTTAAAAATCATCATCAAAATTATTTTTCTTAAATAGGCTTATTACAAGATTAAAAAGTTGCAAGGCCTGAGAGACAGCACACAAGGCTGGGGCACTTGCTTACATGCTTTGCATGTATAGGCCTAACTTTGATCCCTGGGACATGCCTGAGCATCATGTCTTTAAAACGAAACTTAATACACATATATCATACTTTACACAGTACACATATTGGGAGATCATATATAAATTGTCAGTTAAAAAATTTAAAAATATTTAAAGGGTTGGAGAAAGCACTGAGATTAAGATACTTCCTTGCGTTCAGCTATCTGATTCGATCCTGGGTATCACCGGTAGTTCCCCCAAGCATCACCAGGAGCAATCCCTGAGCATAAAGTCAGAAGTAAGCACTGAGCATATCTGGATAAAGCCCCAAGTACCAACTTCCCTCCAAATTTGATTAATTTAAAGAAAATATTTTAAAATAGGGCTGGAGTGATAGCACAGTGGGTAGGGTGTTCGCCTTGCATGCGGCCAACCCGCGTTCTATTCCTCCATCCCTCTAGGAGAGCCTGGCAAGCTACCGAAAGTATCACACTTGCATGGCAGAGCCTGGCAAGCTCCCTGTGGCGTATTCGATATGCCAAGAACAGTAACAACAAGTCTCATAATAGAGACATTACTGGTGTCCGCTTGAGCAAATACATAAACAACGGGAGGACAGTGCCACAGTGCTTTTAAAATAATGAAATATGAGTTTTGTACCATGTACGAACACATATGAACAATCTTCTAGTGTTCTGATCTTTCTGTACAAGGGATATGGCAACTTTGGCTCAACTTCAGTTTAATGTGAGTTTATTTTCTCCTCTACAAAATGAAGATATTTCCTTTCCAAGAATGGTTATGAACATTAATCACGATAAGGTGTAACAAAGTTCTTAACATAATGCCTGATAAATATGTGGTACTCAGTCATCGTCCTAAACAGTCTTCAGAAAACTAAGACTCAATTATAATGACTAAATTTTTCATGAAGGAGGACCAGATAGGAAAATTAACACCACTGGCTTAAGCGTTTTGCTTTAATTTAGTGGGGGAGGGTGTCTCATTTTCTTCCACAATCATAGCTGGGATAGCTGCTCTAATTCCTAAGTCTTATTTTTACTTTGTTTGAGTGTATGGGGAGGTGGGGGTGGGGGTGGGGAGGAAGTACACCTGGTGGTGCTCAAGGCTGACTCTTGCTTGGTTCTCTACTGAGGGATTACTCCTGGCAGTGACGCAGGAGCATTACGTAGTGTTGGGGATTGAATTGGCAGCATGCAAGGAAAACACTTTATTTTTTTTTTTTTGCACTATCTCTTTGGATCTTCACTTAGAAAACACAACTTACTTTTGTTGTTAGTGTTACCTTGCCTTATCCTTTTATTATTACTTTTTTTTCTAAATTTAGAGACTGTGATAACAGTTGTGATAAGTTAAGGCAATCAGTGTTCCAACTTCGAACCTACCATCCATGTTAGCATCACTCTGCCAATGATTCAAGGTTCTCTTCAACTCCCCACCCTACCTCCTTAGCAATTTTTAAAAATAAAATTACAGTTTGAGTCACATACTTACACTAGTGTTGACTCTTACAGTTTTGATGTATATAGTTACCTCACCTCTACATAACAAGTCCAAGATCTGTGACCAACATCCTTATGTTATTGCCAGTCCATTTGCTCATTCATCTCACAACAGCCCTGTCCCACACCTCTTCTCAACCTTGGTGTTTCCATTTCTATAATTCAGGGTTTTACATCATTTTATAACTGTTAGTCCATGCACCACAGATAAGTAAGATCATCTAGTATTTGTCCTTACGTTGCTTAACATGATAACCTGCAGGTTCATCCAGGTTACAGTGAATATTGTGATTTAATCTTTTCTTATGACTGCACAGCATTGTTTTTATATATATCATACCTGCATTCATTTGTCTATTGCTAGACCTTTGGGTTGTTTCCTTATCCTAGCTATTGCGGTACCAAGTGCTGCAATAAACAGGCACATGCATATCTTTTTGAATTAATGCTTTTGTGTTTGGAGGGTATAGGCTAAGAAGTGAAACTTCTAAGTCATACAGGGCTGCCTCTATACTTAGTTCTTTGAGAAAACTCTATTTTTTATAGGGTCTGAATCAGACAACATTTCCACTGGATGTGAATAAGAGATTTGTTTATACATACAACAGTTTGTTTCCACTGTTCTTGAAAAATTGGCATTCTGAATAGTGCAAGATAATATGTCATTGTTATTTTCACTTGCTTGGGGCCGAGATCTCCAAGCCTACTCGGATTGGAGTCGAGCATCCTCCACCCAGATCCTCCAAATTCCGGTAGGCGGGGGTCACACCCACCAACTGGCCCCCTGGCGCCGTGTAATCCCATCAGCGGCCAAGACTCATAGACTATAAAAACCAGATCCCGGAACCGCAAGGCTGCATTCGCGGCCGCGCGGTATTTTATTATGACATCTCATTCCTACTTTGACAAACTGGCAGGCTCCCGAATGTAGCCTGCCCACACGGCAGAGTCTGGCAAACTCCCTGTGTCGTACCCAATATGCCAAATACCAGTAACAATGATGGGTCTCATTCTCCTAAAGAGCCTTGAATATAATCTCAGGGCTAGGATGAAGGAGAAGTTACTGTGGCCTGCTCGAGGCAATCGACAAATAACAGGATGATCTGTGATCTGTGATTTTCACTTGCATTTATCCTGTATAACACTATTGTATCTTCTTTCCCCCATTTTACTAACTTATTCTGTTTTACTTTTCACAGAGCTTGGCCTGCATTATTTGAGATCACAGATTCTCTCAAATGGTCAGCTTTACCAAATCTTAGATGATAGAATCATAGGTTAATAGCAAATATTTTCTCTTCTTATGATTTTTTGTACCCAAAAATTATTACTCATGAAACTATCATGCCTAACTATCAAAACCAGATCAAGATTTTATAAGAAAATAAGACAATTTCTACAATGAGCATAGATACAAAATTATCAGTAAAACATTAGTAGATTGAATCCATAAAAAAAAGTGCATAAAGCATTTATATATCATGATCAAGTGAGGGGCTGGAGCAATAGCACAGCTGTAGGGCGTTTGCCTTGCGCACTGCTGGCCTGGCCCAGCCAGTCCTCCACCCCTCTCGAAGAGCCCGGCAAGCTACGGAGATTATCTCGCCTGCACGGCAAAGCCTGGCAAGCTACCCTATCCATGAGGTATTCGACATGCCAAACATAGTAACAAGTCTCACAATGGAGATGTTACTGGGCCCACTCGAGCAAATCGATGAACAACAGGAGGACAGTGACAGTGACAGTGATCAAGTGAGATTTATCCTAGGTTTGTGATACAATGTCAAATTTCAAAAATTAGTTAATATAATTCATATATAGAGACTAAAAAAAGATATCATATGATTATATTAATAGTTGTTGGAAAAGCATTTGACCAAGATACAATACCAGTTAATGATTGGAACTTTTGCAAACTAGGTTTACATAAGATCTCATTCAGTAAATAACATCTATAAAAATCTGTAGGATAACAC